TAACATTGCTACAAAGCTTTATTATTCTAAAAAGGAGAATAAAAATGATTTGATTCTCTTGGTCTCAGTAAAGACCTACTTGGGAGTAGTGAAAATAAAAACATCCAAATTAGACTAGGAGACCAATCCCTAAAAGAGTAATATATATAATTTAGCTAGTGATATTAATAATAGGATATGTGACTATGAGATTTTGTCATTTCACTCGCTTTGGGAGACAGGAAATCAGCAGAAGTGAAAACTGTGAGGTTCAATTTACAGTTAACAGAGTACACATAAGCAGATTTCTGAAATTCAAAGGTTTTTCCTAGTATAAGTGCAGATAAATGTTCCTATTCCTACATCCTAAAGCCAGTACAGACTAATTTGCAAAAGATTCATTCATCCTTTTTTAAAAAGGATGAGAAAATGTGACAATCATAGAGAGAAATAATGACTATACCTTTTTTCCTACCAAAATGAATTACTGTATCTACTGTTTTTTAAAATATAAATACCGGCATCTGTACCTTCTACAAACAAGGAAACAAAACCCCAATTTGGAAAATCCAGACATAAAAGATAAACTAAGGGGTAACTGATTTACAAGGAGATAAGATTTCCTTTAAATGTCAGCATTTCAAGCATATGAAATGTTATCAGATTTAAATTCACTTTTTCAGAAATGCATCTAGTAGTCAATGGAGGAAAAATGTCATTAAGAGCCAAAGCAAAAGTTGAAAAAGAAACAGTGCCCTCTGCTACACTGCAGTCCAATGGTGAAGAGTGGCCCCAATATCATCTTCTCTCTTTGATGTTCTATTAGTGTTTCTGTATTTCCCCTCACTCCTCCTTTCTGATGTCTGACGTCAACCACAGTTCTGCCTCACTGACTCTCCCTCTTCTGCTGGTCTCTACTGATTTAAAAACTGTGAAGCCAAGAAGAGGCTCTAAGATAGGATGGAACTGCTTACCTGAAGCTTCGTATCTCATTGAAATCACCATAAGCATTTTCTTCCCTTACTCTAGATTTTACCCTACACTTATTTTTGAGTGTTCACCTTGTCATGATAGTAAGTTTCAGTGTTAGTTACCTTTTAACTATATCTCTTTCTTTCCAAAGCCACTTCCCTCTATTCATTATCACCTTGCAACAACTGTAGCATATCACACAGGCCACTTCATGTCAGGTGATAAGAGCAGCAGGCACCATCTTCCAGCACTGATAAACACAGAAACTAAGAATCTCCCCAGCAGCACTGCATGCTCCAGTTAGCCCCCTTGTGACGCGTGAACTTACCCACATTCTAAGCTTCAAATCTAAAGGAAAAAGAGATTGTGGGTTGGGCTTTGAGTTGATGGTGGGCTTATTTCTGGTCCGAGACAAGACACAAAGGGCATTAAAGCAGAAATTAAACAAACACTACCTGGATCTTGGTCTTGCTTTGAGACTGTTGGAATCCTTAGGAGTGGCTGAAACAAAGATTAGTTGTTGTTTGCTTGGGTTTCATTTCTGCAGTTAAACAGGTTTATATGCAGCACCTGGCCTAGTACAGAACACATCAACAGGTCAACATGATGCACAGGTGTCCATGTGGATAACTCGACCACTTCCACAGTTTCATGATATTGTGATTTTCTTTCTAAAGCTAAAGGCACAATTAAAAGGAAAGGAAAACCAACATATTTCCCTTTCATCAGAACACTAAGAAGCCATTCTCAAATAGAAGTTGATTAATGAAGGAATTCCAGTCTAAAAAGACAACCCTTTCAAGGGGTTATCTATTTATATAATGATGGGTCCAGACTTGAGGATTTATTAGTCTATCATGATAGCCTAGTAATAGATTGTGAACGAGTCTCCCCTGAAGGCTTGGAAGAAATCTATCAGGCTACATATATTAAGGTTTTCTTAAAATACACTACCAGAGCAGCATGACCACAAGAAATCAAAGCTCCCATGAGTAAGTTGCAATGAGCTATTCCTAAAAGAAAATATTCGTCTCATGTCTCCATGACCAAATCGTACAGAGAATATTATGCAGTGAAATCATTAAAATATTTTGTCAACCATATGACTTTTCCTTATCAAATTTCAATCACAAACTAACTTGCTCACTATCAACACCCATGAAGTCTACTTTCCCATCACAACTAGTTGGGAGTAATTAGAAACATTTACAAAAACATTAACCTTCTTTTTGTTTTCTATCCGCTATGGAAGACAACTTTAGAAACCACTAGCTATGCTGAGCTCTTGCAAACATTGCAAATTTTTCATCATGTCATAAAAATTCATAGAAAAAGAGCTGCTAACTAGGAACAAGGAGAATATAGTTTATATATTGTTTGCTCAAATCCTCCCAGAAAGAAAATGTCTCACTGCATCATCCCCTCCTCTTTTGCGTAACTCCAAAGATAAAACCCTCCTAGCTATGAAGCAGCCTGGATTTACGACGATCATTAAAATCCTTGGGTTAGATAAGCAGGGCGGAAAGCGGAGCTGAAGTGCTAACAAGGCACAAAGCAAACTAGCAATTTACATTCCCTTCCACAGGGTCAGCTGCAGAAAAGCAGCATTTCTCCCAACCTAAGCATTTTGGCTTCTTCTAGTGAGAACACAGGCATCTTTCAACTCAAACCACTGAAACGCTGCCAGAGTCCTGAAAAGCATGAGCAGCCCCAAGACTCTGAGCTCTCTCTTGCCCATTATCGTGGAAAACCACCTCTCCATCCTACAAACCCCAGGCAGCAAAGGAAAGTGGCCTAAGGAGGGCCCCTCCTCCAGCCAAGCAGGCTGCTTTGGGGCTGGGTGGATGGTGTGACCAGACTCACCACAGAGTTGGGGGCCACCCTCTGAGCAGGCTGCCCACAGCCCGTGCCCCTCTTCTCCCTCAGGCCCCACTGCTTTCCAGAAGTATGTAGGTAGGGGAAGTCTCAGCCATTTTAACTGAAGTCTCAGTTAAAATACTGTTTCCCAAACCAGGCCGTGGGACCGTTAATTCCTTCGTGAATTGCCATTATCTTTGTCTTTTTGCTGGGGTAGGAATGGGTGTGGAAGGTTGAGTGAACTCTGCTGGTGAGAGATAGATAGAAGGGGTGAGGGGTACAAATGAGCAGTGGAGACCAGGCCAGGACTCCTGAGGCCTAGGCGCTCCTCCTGGCCATGGCACCAACTAGCTGTTACCTCTTCCGAACCTTGGTTTCCTCACCTACAGAATGAAGAAAATAAAAATGTGACCCGTTCCTCACAGGAGAGATAAGAGGTGAAAATAGTTTGAAAACTAAAAGTATTTTATAATTGCAAAATATTACTCTCGTAGAGTGCTCCTAATTTTTCAAGCTTAGAAATCTAGTTTCTAAATTTAGCTCCTTCTGGGACAGCAAAGGAGGTGCACGTGGGAGCAGGTTACAGAAGGTGAGAACTGCTCTACCCCGTAAGACCACGGGGTGATAGCTGGCAATTGGGGCAGCTGCTAGAATCAGCAACAGCAGTCTGAAGACTATAGTGTGAGGGTGAACAGGCCTCATACCCTCAGCATGACCTACAGGCATCAAGAAAAAGATCACCATTGTGCAGTGTGCTCTGTTGAACTAGGCTGGAATGTGATGTTAGCTAAGAAATCTATTAGACTCCACTAATATGTACACTTTTGCCAATTAAAAGGGTAAGGGCATACGAAAAAATATATAACAAGGAATACTCCCATTCTCTGATAACGAAGCCCCACCCCATCTGTAACCCACCACATCATCATCTTTACCACCATTACTATTATCATTATCATCGTTATTATTACCACCCACTGTGGAAGAGCAGAGCAGGGAGATGCTCCTCCTTCCACCTGCAAAAACATATCCCATGCAGGTCTTGGTAAGTCTCCACAGGTTTCAGATCAGAAAAAGCTAGAGAATATATTCCAGTTAAGTCTTCCATCAGCCTCCGAGCCCTTGAAAGTCAGGCTCAGCATTTGGAGCATGTTAATATCTGCAAAACTGGCAAGGCACGTTGTGCTGCAATCTAGGCAGAAGCCAACGGACAGATCCCCGCTTCTCATTGAGCTGGGAAGAGGGAAGAAGAATGCCAACTTCCTAGAATACTGCAGGCATGTCATCTTTCCAGGAAATAGAAACTGTGTAAGAGGGCGACTCCGAAGTTTAATTCTCCAAAAGGCAGCAACTTAACTGAGGTGAACTGTCCACACGGTCCTGACAGCCATCCAGAATTAGAAATCACCACCTTGAAACTCCAGTGTCTCGCACTAGGAATCCAAACATGCCCCCAGGAAAGGGGACATTAAATATTTTCAGCTGAAGGATTCCCTCATATCTACTCCAGAAAGGGGCAATCAGGAACCACATTACATGCTCCCAGGAAGAATGTGAAACAAATCCAGATGCACCTCGTGCACTGTGGTACACCTTGTCTGGTGACACCATGCCCTACTCAATGAAGGAATGTTAGCAATGACGTCTAAAGTACATGCCCCCAGAGAACATGTGATGCTCATGGGAAAAACAAGAAGCCTTATTAGCCTCAAAGCCTGTAGAAGCACCAGTTCGACTCTCTAAATTTAACTAGGTTTTACTAATATAACATGAAGTTTACAAAAACCGGGAGGCAATCGCTTTAGCTCCGGAAATTAGAGTTGGAAAGAACCTACCTTAGGCATTTGTCCTACACAAATAGAACATTTCCCCCTATGATGGAGGAACCCCAATCAGTTTCAAAAGCCAAAACTAGGCTGGAGAATTCCTACCACTTTTGGAGTCATAGCTGATCTATAATCTTAATTTTCCATTTAATATTGCCTTCTAGAGGCAGTGGTTACCAAAGTAGGCTGTGCAACAGAATCACCTGGGGGGGGGTCTAAAAATACAGATTCCTAGGCCCCATCACTGCATGATTCATATATATGCCTCCTTTCCCCTTCCCCCACCCTCTCCTTCTCTCTACCCCTCTTTTATACCCTGGATGAACTTGGTGTTTGGGAAATATTATACTATAGCATAAGCCTCAATATTATATTGATTCCTTTGTTCCAACTTTAGACAAATAAGCCTGGGATGATAGCTAGCTAACGAAAACAAACATGATTTACTGATTAAATATTGAGAAAGAAAAAAGAGAGCAGCGCCTTCTTTCATGTCATAACCAGAGCTCCAAATAGTAACACCTTCCCTAGCCAGTTTGTTTTTAACTAGGTTCATAGTGATTCAACGATGGGTCCATCGAAAGAGCTAAGGACACAACCCCAGCCAGCTCCGCAGTTCACAGATACAGTTCCAACTCTCCAAGAACCTGAGCAAACACAAATTTTATTTTTCTACTTGGAATCCACTCCATGTAGAAGAACATTTACTTGCCTTCCTGGTGGTGAAGTATAATGAAAATATTTGAGATTTTTGCTTTGGAAATGGAAAATTTCAACTGTGGGCCTCCAACTCATCTACCCCATCAACTCCTTACTCTACACAAAAACCACAATGGCTTGTTGAAATCTTCTCAACCCCAAGCTTTCTCAATTTTACACTTATTAACAATGTGACTCGAAATTCAAACTGGGTGATGCTTTCAGTGAAACCTAAATTCAGAACTTAAAAAGGTATCACCCTCTACTCATACCTGAAAAGAGGGAAGGGGTAAAAACAAAAAGCAAAAAGACTGCCTTGTAATAAAAGACAAGACAAATATTTAGAGAAACGCACATACTATCACATATGCACCAATCTTCTACTCACTGAAACTGGTTTTTTCATTAGAAATAATTACATAAAAATCTATTATAATGGTTTTCTCCTACCTGGATCTTCAGATATTTCCTTTGGTAAGGCTTCATCCGTAGTACTTGTCGAAGCTAGCAGTGTTTGTTTTTGATGAACAGAAAGAGAAAGGAGGGAGAAAGAAAAAGAAAACTATAATATTTCATTTCTGTGGCACATTACATTCAAAACAAAGAATCCCTAGTAATTCCTATGAAAATGGTGTTACAAATTTCTATAAGGTGCTATAGTACTTACTAAAACAACGAAGACCTCCTAAAGTATGGAAACAGGTCCTCCCAAGAGAACAAAATGGTATTTTCAACTTTCCAGAAAGAGTGCCTCTAGTGGCTAGGAGTATTACCAGGAAGTATCACGAATTTCCCCTTTTCACTCTTGACATCCAGACCAATGACATCAGAATCTCTCTGGGAGTGAAACCCAGGCTTCAGTATTTTTAGAACTGGCCCAGTTATTCCAATGTGCAGTCAAGGAAGGCTAAGACCCACTAATAAAGAGAGTGATCAGAGTGCACGCTGCTGCAGACAATATCCAGTTCTACCTGCCTTTCCTGAGCAAATATTTAAATAGCGTGCAACTATCGTTTCCTGATAGAAAACTTACATGTTTAACTCCTGTGCAGAGCTGCATCAATGGCAGGCCTCAGCAATAAAACCTGAAATAGCACCACTGATTTTCAGTCCTTTCAGATAAGCCTCTCATTCATGGGTAATGAATCAATATCAGATAAGAGAAAGAATACTAGCTTGAAATCTAGAAAATCTTGGTTCTTATTCCCACTGTTTTTCTTACTAAGCAAATGATTCATACTGCCTGAACTTCAGTCTATACTCATGTCTAAATTTTAGATGATAAACATATCAGCCTCCATGTAGTTTTGTGAGGACTAAGAGAATGTATGAGGATGGACCCAGTAGATTATAGAGCATTATACAAAAGTATGGAGTCAGGGGGGTGGGGGGAGAGTGTTACTCCTGCTCCTCTAGACATTCCCAGGCCAACTCATCTCTGCTTGACAGTAACTATAACATGGAACACTGCACTGCTTCTCATAGGCTCCATATCACAGCCCTATATCCATAAAGTCACAGAGAATAAAGCCCAGGGACAGAAACTCTCCAGGAGATAACTTCTTCATGGATTAGACCTGTGTACAAATGTGCATTTATACTGAGGTCCTGGGATCACACCTGCCAATATAAAATGTTAAGTTCTCAATTCTTTTAGCTTC